AGCAGGACTTCAAACTCACTCCCTTTTCAATATTATTGCCACTAAAACCTGATGCCACTAAAAAAAAAAACTGATCCTACAAATAACACCCTTCTAGTCAATGGATGGTTAATGACCAGTATGGGTCTATCAGTCAAGGTCCCAGAAGAAAGAGAAGGCATATCCAATTGAGTAATTTGAGCACAGTTGAATATTGTCAGTTTGTAACAGTGTAGGCAATACCTTCATGCCAGTTACAGTGGAAATGGTTGATACCTGTAGGCCTGAAGATGTGAGCCTAGTTTAATGGAATCCAGAAAGAGGGGTGGGGGGGGGGGAAGGGGAGAGAAGTGGAGAGAGCTGCCAGACAGGGCTGTGCCTTTTGGTCCAAAGATGAAACCAGATCACAGAAATCCTGGGGGTGAGGTCAGGTAGTGCATGATCTTGCCAGTCTTTATCACTGGCTGAATCCAACTGAAAACCACAAGGCAGGGGAGCCTAAGGACATGGTTTGTGCCCATATCAGCCACTAAAGACAGTGGAGGGTATGAAATGGATGTGGGTAAGTCAGCAAGGAGTATTAGGAAGTGTATCTTCTCCACCCCCATCCCTCAGATTCACCCCCTTTCTCTCTTACCATAAATGAAAATGGCAGAGACTTAAAGGAAACAACTGTTTGTGTCTGTTTCTTTAATCCATGGTTGCAAATGCTTCTGAAATGTATTAGTGCACTTTCTTACTAAGCTTTCATAAGCATCTGCATTTGTTCTGCTTTTACTGTATTGTGGACAAAGGAAGTATGAAATATTGGTTAACACTGTCTCTCAAATAAGTACACATTCTTTAAAGCTTTTTGGATTTTTTGTATGTTTTTGGTTAAGTTAATTCAGATATAGTTTACATACAGAAAAACCCATCCATTTTAGCTCTGCAATTCTGTGTTTTCACAAATGTATACAGTCCTGTATTTAACTCTACAGTCAAGATATAGAATATTTTCATCACTCCAATAAGGTTCTAAAACTTTTAAAAATCTTTAATCCCACTCAACTAAATGTCTGGTATCAATGTTTTTTTCTTCTGGTTTAAAATAGGAAAATTGGTGATAACATCCAACAGTGGGTAGTACATAGTAAGTGCTATTATGAAAAGTATTTTTGTTGGTTTGTTTCCCCACCTTCTGACTAATATAAACTATTCATATTGGTTATTAACTCAATTCATGTATGTTAGACTGAGGAAAGGCTCATAATCTTGACTGCATGTTGAAATCACCTGAATTTATTAAATGACCTGATGGTCAGGTAGCATTTCATTAAAGCAGGTTGTCTGAGGTTAAGACCAAGGCATCAATAATCTAAGCTTTCCAAGTAATTCCATATGTGGCTAAAGTTGAAACCTCTGAATTAGATCAGTTGTTCTCAATTCTGGCTGCACAGCAGAATCCCCTAGGCAATTGCTTAAAATATTGATTTCCCTTCAATTCTGATTTATATAACTTGTTCATAAAAGTTGACTACAAGAAAAAAATAAGATTTGGGTAACATATTTCTGAATGGTTGGGCTCCAGTTAAATCAAGGTTTTATTATAGTTCTGGGTAGGTGGTGGTATTCAATAAATGTTAGATGGAGGTCCTAATCCCACAGCAGAGTCAAAGAGAATAATATATGCTCCCTCTTGGAAATAAACTGTTTGTGTATTTGAAATAATTATCTTGGCAAACTATCACTTTCTGAAAATTGTCCTCCTAGGTAATTTACCTCAAATGGTAAGCCTTGTAATTTAAGAGAATATTATATTTCAACCCTATTTTTCAGCATAATATTAGGCACATATATATTTTACATCACTTTCATAATTCTCTCCAAGGAAATAGACAGGAAGCAAGATTAAGAAATGGAGGATAAGATTTAAACCAGCCTCTCTCTTAGAAGCACAAATGATGCTATTGCACTTCTGGGCCTGGAGAATGCTGCTACTTTGTGAAATAGAACAATGGTGCTTTCTGTTTTGTTTTGTTTTGTTTTGTTTTTTGCGGTACGTGGCCCTCTCACTGTTGTGGCCTCTCCCGTTGCGGAGCACAGGCTCCGCGGCCATGGCTCATGGGCCCAGCCGCTCCGCAGCATGTGCGATCTTCCCGGACCGGGGCATGAACCCGTGTTCCCTGCATCGGCAGGCGGACTCTAAACCACTGCGCCACCAGGGAAGCCCACTTTCTGCTTTTATAATGGTGAAATATATATGCAAAGGACAACTCATGCCATTCGCTAAAACAGAACTGAACTGTCTAGTGAAATAGTTATGGGACTAGCAAAATATTTATATATGATATCTTTTTTCAGATTTCAGTAACTAGTAACTGAAATAGCAAAAATCTCTTTTGGCATAAAGTTACTGAAAATCTATTATGGCATAAATGCTTATCAAGCAAACCTCCCGAATTTTATTGTTATAAATAATTAATCACCATGTTGCATGTTTCAATATACATTAACAACACCAGGTGTTGTATTTAATCCTTCAAATATAAACTAGTGCAACAAACGGCATTTTTCTTAAATGTTCTTGGTTTAATATAAAAAATATAAAGCTTGTTTAATTTGACCTTCCCACTTCTTACTCAGTTTTTCTACTCCTTTTTTCCTTTTTAGGACCATCTCAGAAAATAGTGTCACCTAAACAAGAGCATGAAGATAGGAAACATGACAAAGTCACAGATAAAGGAAGTGAGAGTGGGACTTCCTGTAATGAGCTCTCCACTTCCAGTTGTGACAGCCACTCAGAGGCAAGCACTCCCCAGGACAACCCACCCAGTGCCCAGCAGGCGACAGCTCACCAACCTAACACCTTAACATTGGATCGTCCTTCCAAAAAAGCACCTGTGCAATGGATGCCCCCACCAGACAAACGCAGAAACAGTGAACTCTTTCAGACACTCATCAGCAAATCCCGGGAAACCAATCTTTCCAAAAAGAAAGTCTGTGAGAAGCTAAGTGTGGAAGAAGAAATGAAAAAGTGTATTCAGGATTTTAAAAAAATCCACATTCCAGATTATTTTCCAGAGCGCAAACGCCAGTGGCAGTCTGAACTGTTACAGAAGTATGGGTTATAGTAATTATCACATTCCTGCAGTATTTCAATGACGTTCAGTGTTTACTACAGTGTCACCACCTGACTGTGTACTAACAATGGTCAGTGTGATTCTTGCTGCTCTTCCTTTTTGTGAACAGTGGATGTGGGACAGTATTTTCTTTCATTCTTTTTGTTGTTGTTGTTGTTTTTAGAAATATGATTTTTAAAAAAGAAAACTCATAAATGTTGAATCAAATGGTGTTCCTCATTCAAACCATTTTGCAAGAATGAAAGCAAAATGTGCATGACCAAGAAGCTTAGAATCTTGATTTTTGAACTGTGGTCATGTTTGTCATTTTATAACTCACCAAAAACAAATCATCATATCACTCCAAGTAAAGTGACAATATGGATGAAGCCACATCAAGTAAAATGTTAGATCATGGTTTTGGGACCCAAATCCAAAACTGTTTAAATGTTAATGCAATAAAACAAGTATTATTTTTGCATGAGCACAATGTTACAAATAATTCACAAGACATAGGGAAGATTTGTTTGCTGCTTGGAAAGAAAAAAATTATGAAAAAATAGCAAAAAAAAAAAAAAAGAAAGGTTCAGGCAAAGCCTATAAATGTAAGCTGTCTAGGAGATTGAATCTTATTTGTTCTGGATCTGTGATTTTTTTGTGTATGTGTATGGTGTTCTGTATGTATGTTAAGATGATGTAAATATGCCTTATAATCTTGTGTTATGACACTGACATTCATCTATTAATGCTAGTCATGGTTATTTCTGTGAAATGAGTCCTTACATCAGGCTGTGAAAATTGGTATAATGATGCTCTGAAAGATCTGACTATAATGTTAATTAAAATAATTGAGGGAAATGGTAAAGAGCTTTATGTATTTATTTAAAAAAAGGAAAATATATTAGAATTCCTTGATCTCTATTGACTCTTCTTTTAAAATATTCAGTTGTTACATTGTCTTCAATTTTCCTTTAAAATCCCAAACTGGAGAATGATATGTTCAACCTTAATGTTGACAAGCTAGAGACTTGCTTCCAGGACATGGAAGCAAACTAAATGTCCATCGACAGATGAATGGATAAAGAAGATGTGATACATATATACAATGGACTATTAGCCATACAAAGGAATGAAATTTGGTCATTTGTAAAGATGTGGATGGGCCTAGAGTCTGTCATACAGAGTGAAGTAAGTCAGAAAGAGAAAAACAAATGTCGTTTATTAATGCATACATGTGGAATCTAAAATAATGGTACAGATGAACCTATTTGCAGGGCAGGAATAAAGACGCAGACACAGAGAATGGACATGCGGACATGGTGGGAAGGGGAGGGTGGGATGAACTGGGAGGTTAGGATTGACATATATACACTACCATGTGTAAAATAGCTAGCTAGTGGGAACCTGCTGTATAGCACAGGGAGCTCAGCTCCGTGCTCTGAGATGAACTAGATGGGCGGGATTGGGGGGGGCGCGGTTTAGGAGGGAGATCCAAGAGGGAGGGGATATATGTAAAATATAGCTGATTCACTTCATTGTACAGCAGAAACTAAACATTGTAAAGCAATTATACTCCAATTTAAAAAAAAAAAAAGATTAGGAGAAAAAAGAGCTATGTCTACTAAGGAGTCAGAATCACTTCCAAAGATACCTCCCAAAACAAAGAGAGAGGGGAGAAATTATCCTAGCTTCCTACATTCCAATTCCCCACGAGCACTTTCCATTGTCCCAATAAAAGTAGAAACAGTTTGCAAAGGAGCCTAGGAAAATTAATTTAATAGAGGTGATCCCCCTGTGATACAAAGCCTAGCAGTGCAAGGCAGGGAATAGATCTGAAGAACACTTCACATCCTACTCTATTTTTTCCCAACACAAAACTTCAAATAGAATTGCAATGGTAAGAATTTGTCTATTAGTCTATTGAGCACTTATCATACACCAAACATTTGGCTCAAAGGTTAACAACATATTCAAGAAATACAAATTACTAGCTATTGCCCTTGGGAAGAAGCTTATGGTCTGATTCTCCCAAATCATTACACATTCACCAGAGGCTAGATCCTGGCTGGTCCCAATTGGGTTTACCATAGAATCAAGGGAGGAAGCTAGAATGAGGACTCTTCCCTGAAGAAAAGGAGACTCCAAAATTTAAAGATGAGTTAGACTAAAACTGCTGTGTAAAACTTTTCCAAAGAATCAGGAGATAAAATCTGGAGGATCACCATAAGTCAAAAGACCTGGAAAGTCATTGAAGTTGAGTATTTTTGGAGAATACCTTTTGTTTGATATACAGTATTTACTTAACTTGTGACCTGGTGTTTTATTCTTAGTTCAAGTGGAAACATAAATTGAGTACTAACTAAGATGAGAAAAGGAAACAAAAGTGAAATTGTGAGATTTTCAATTTTGGAAAAATGGAGTAGATATACTTTTCCTTATTTCTCCCACTAAGTATAACTGAAAACCCTGGACATTATATACAAACACACTTAAGAGGCTCTGAAAGGCTCATAAAAGATGGAAAGCTGGCTAGAAGCATTGGGATCAAAAAACAGCATGGTGACGGAATTTCTTGGGTTTTCTTTTTGTCTATATATCGCTGATAGACAGTACTAACAGGTGCAGAAGAAGCAAGGCCCAACAAAATCCTGCTCTCTCTAGCCAAAGGACCAGGAAAGGTGCAACTTAGCAAGACAGAAAACATTTATATAACAGCTGCTGTGCTGTGTCAGGTTGCAGGTAGGTAGACACAATTGTATTGCATAGTCATTTTCAGGCTCCCTACTTCTTTTAAAGAACTTAGCAATTTTAGTTTCACAGCAAAATTGAGAGGAAGGTACTGAAATTTCCCGTGTACCCCTTACCCTCCAATATGCACAGCCTCCTCCATTATCAACATTCCCCATCAGAATTGTACATTGTTATAATTGATGAACCTACATTGATGCATCATTATCACCCAAAGTCCATAGTTTACATTATTGTTCATGCTTAGTATTTTACATTTGGATAAATGCATAATGACACATATCCATCGTTATAGTATCACACAGAGTATTTTCACTGCCCCCCTAATCATCAGTGCTCTGCTTATTCATTCCTCACCCTTCCCCCAACCACTGGCAACTGCTGTTTTTACTGTCTGCATAGGGTTGTCTTTTTCAGAATGTTATATAATTGGACTCATACAGTACATAGCATTTCCAGATTTGGCTTCTTTCACTTAGTAATATGCATTTAAGTTTCCTCCATGTCTTTTCATGGCTTTATAGCTTTTTTTTTTTTTTTTTTTTAGTGCTGAATAATATTCCACTGTCTGGATTTACCACAGTTTATTTATCCATTCACCTACTGAAGGACAACTTGGTTCCTTCCAAGTTATGGCAACTATGAATAAAGCTGCTATAAACATCCATATATAGATTTTTGTTTGGATGTAGTTTTCAACTCCTTTGGGTATATACCAAAGAGTGTGATTACTAGATCATGTGGTAAGTGGATATTTAGTTTTGTAAGGAACTGCCAGACTGTCTTCCAAAGCGGCTATACCATTTTGCATTCCCACCAGCAATGAATGAGAGTTCTTGTTCCTTCACGTCTTCATCAGCATTTGGTATTGTCAATGTTCCAGATTTGGACCATTCTAATTGGTTTGTAGTAGTATCTCATCATTTTAATTCACACTTCCCTGATGATGCATAATGTGGAGCATCTTTTCATATGTTTTTCTCCCACCTATATGTCTTCTTTGGTGAGATGCCTGTTAATGTCTTTGACCCATTTTTTAATCCAGTTATTTGTTTTCTCATTGTTAAATTTTAAGCATTCTTTATGTATTTTGCATAACAGTCATTCATCTGATATTTCTTTTGCAAACGTTTTCTCCTAGTCTGTAGCTTGTTTTCTCATTCTCTTGACATTGTCTTTCACAGGTAGAAGGTTTTAATTTAATCAAGTCCGGCTTACCTGTTATTTCTTTCATGGATTGCGTTTTTGGTGTTATATTTAAAAAGTCATTGTCATACCCAAGATTTCTCCTGTGTTATCTTCTAGGAGATTTATAGTTTTGCATTCTCCATTCAGGTCTGTGATCAATTTTGAATTAATTTTTGTGATGGGTGTAAGGTCTGTGTTCAGATTCATTTTTCGCATGTGGACGTCCAGTTGTTTTAAAACCATTTGCCCCACTGTGTTGCCTTTTCTTCTTTGTCAGAGATCAGCTGACTATATTTATATGGGTCTGTTTGGGGGATCTCTATTTTGTTTAATTGATCTATTTGTCTTTTTTTTTTTTTAACAATACCACATTTTCCTGATTACTGTAGCTTTATGGTAAGTCTAGAAGTTGGATCACATCAGTCCTCTAACTTTGTTCTTCTCTTTCCATATTATGTTGGCTATTTTGAGTCTTTTCCCTCTTTATATAAACTTTAGAAACAGTTTGTTGATATCCACAAAAAAACTTGCTGGGATTTTTATTGGGATTGCATTGGATCTACAGAATAAGTTGAGAAGAAATGACATTTTGACAATATAGACTGTTCCTATCCATGGGCATGAAATATCTCTCCATTTATTTTGTTCTTATTTGATTCAGTTCATCAGAGTTTTGTAGTTTTCCTCATACAGAGCTTGTACATATTCTGTTAGATTTGTACCTAAGCTTTTCATTTTAGGGAGTGCTAATGTTAATGGTAATGTGTTTTTTTTTTTTTTTTTTTTTTTTAATTAA